CGCCGACCGCGCGGTCGACGCCCAAGGGCGCGCCGTCGAGGACGCGCTCAGCGGCGCCGAGGGCCCCGAGGCCCAGCGCGCGGCGAAGCGCCAGGCCATCGAGCTCCACATGCGCGCGCTCGAGCACGCGAGCCGCTGCGACGGCGTCGGCTGCAAGCGCCTCTCGTGCGCGAAGATGCGGGGCTACCTCGCGCACAGCGCCGCGTGCGCCGCGCCCCGCGGCGAGTGCCTCGACTGCAAGCGCGTCGCGACGCTCGTGCTCCTCCACGTCCGCGGCTGCAGCGACGAGCGGTGCGTCGTGCCCGGCTGCCGCGCGCGCAAGGAGCAGCTGCTCGTCGACCAGTGGCGCTCGGCCCTCGAGGGCTAGCGGCCGCGGCGGCGGCGCGAGACGCCCGAGCGTAAGACTCCTCGGCAGATGGGGGGCGCGAGCATGGCCGGACGCTGTCCGCGCGCGGGCGCCCCGACGCGCGTTCATCGCGACACGCTCTCGAGCTTTCGCGGCCGCGAAGGCCTTGATTGAAGTCACTGTTTCCCACTTGTTTCCCCACGTCACACTCACGCATGGGCCGATAGAGCTCGAGATATAAGACCAACGAGCTCGAGAACACGATGGTCCGCGCCCTCACGCTCGCCCTCGCGCTCGCCGCCACCGATGCGTTCGTTCCGCGGAAGCAGAGCCAGCGCGTCGCGCAATCGAAGATGTGGGGGGACGACTACCTCTACGACGGCGGCTACGACGGCGGCTTCGGCCTCTACGACGGCGGCTTCGGCGGCGGCTACGGCGAATACTACGGCCCGCGCTTCGGGCCCCCCAGCTGGTGGCGGGGCAACTCCCGCGGCGTCGCCGGGCGGGGCATGTACGGCTTCGGCACCTTCGACTCGCCCTACGCGCGCTCGGTCCGGGACAACTACCACGACCGCGGCTACACCTACGACTACCGCCGCGCGCTCCGGGACCCGGAGGGCTACCACTACGGGGGCCACATCGACTCGCCCCACCACGGCCCCGTCGACTACCGCGGCCGCTCGGGCTTCGACCGAGGCGGCTTCGACGAGATCTGCTACTGGGACGCGCCCTACGACGACTTCTGGTAAAAGCACAACCAGGAATGTCCCGACGGTCGGTGCGTCGTCGTAGAGCCGCCTCGGCGGGCCGATTACGTATACGCGCGCGCCCTAGTTGTTCCAGCCGTCCCTGTCGCCGAGCTCGTCGAGCGCCGCCTGGCGCGCGTCGCCCTCGAGGTGGCCGGCGTCGTTGCCGCCGGCGGAGGACCCGTCGTCGAAGGCGACGTAGTCGCCCCGTTCCTCGTCGAAGTCCGGGTCCGCGCTCGGCGTGTCGTTCATCGCCTCGACGAGGCCCGCCTTGGTCGTCGACTCCATGTACTTGCCCCAGCGGACGGCCTCCTCCTGCGCCTCGCTCGCGAAGAGCGCGCTGTTGACCTGGGACCACGTGCCCGCGAACGCGCGCGACCGCTTCGACCGGAGCACGGCCATCGCGTCCGCCAGTCGGCCGCTCAGGTCCGCGGGCGACGCCTCCGCGGCGCCGGGCGCCGCGAGCAACGCGACGCCCGCGTAGCCCCGCGGCCCCGCGGCGTGCGCCTCCGCGTCGAGCGCGTCGACGTCGTCGCCGTCGAAGTCGAGGCCGCGGACGAGCGGCACGGCGAAGGCTCCGTCCGGCGGCGGGCCGTTCGCCAGGGGGTCGCCGCCGCCGGCGACGACGAGCGCCTCGGCGCCGAGCTCGAGCGCCGCGCGCGCCGCCGCGGCGCACGCGGCCGCGGTCGCGAGGCCGTCGACGCAAAGGACCGGCGCGCCGCCGGCGCTCGCGGCTTCGACCACCGCCGGCGCCATGGCCGCGAGGTCCGCCGCGTCGCAGCGCACGAGGAAGGCGTCGGCGCCCGCCGGCGCGGCGCCGGCGCCGCTGTAGACGACCGCGACCGCGCCGTCCGCGGGATGCGCGGCCGCGTGCGCCCGCTGCTCGTCGCCGACGGTCGCCAGCAGGTCGCCGTTTGCGACGAAGATGGCGCCCGCGCCGGCCTCGCGGAGCACGGACGACGCGCCCTGGACGAGCATGGGCCCCATGAAGTCGAGGGGGTCCGGCGGAGGGCAGGGGCCGAGCTCGACGGCGTAGGCCATCTTCTTCGACGCCAACGAGTCGCCGTAGGCGCCGGAGACGACGACGCGCGACGACGGCGGCGCCGCGGGCCGCTGGAGCGCCAGGGCGCAGAGCGGCAGCAGCAAGGAGACCGTTCCGGCGCGCCTCGACGTCGACATGCTCGGCAGCGTCATGCCCGAGCACTCGACTCTGCCACTGCAATGTATGGCGTCTCGCCGACGACCTTCGCCGGGGTCTGGGCCCCTCCCCGAGGCCCCCAAAACACAGGCTAGG